GTCTTTTTAAATTTTAAACCTGCATTTTCCTACAACCATTAGACGGTGGAGTTATTAAAATATTGTGTTTTGGAAATGGACCATTGACGTCACTCCAGTGAAATGAGAGAGAGAAAGAGAATGAGAATATATATGCTTGGGAAGTCATGCAGACTAGAAAAGGTTCTTTTCCCGAAGCTCAGCATAGCAATTCTTCCTTGCCCTTCACAGAATAATCTTGGCATGTAGATTGCCTCCTGCCAGGCCAACCACTGAAAGGAAGTGCAGCATTTTGATACTGGGAACTTCTGTGATACCCTCCCAAAAGAAACTGAGAGCCAGTGTGATGTAGTGATTAAAATTCAGAGCAGGACCGGGGATAGGGTTGCCAGGCTGATCCTGCCAACCAGTGGGCGGGAACATGGGGAGGGGGAAATGTGACATTGGTGGGTAGCTCTAGGAATCACTGGAAACCACAGAGTTTCTGGCAATTCCTAGAGCGACCCATTGTCACTTCTGGGTTGTATCCAGAAGTGACGTACCAGTGCAGAAGACACTGGCATTTTTAATTTTTTTGAGTGGTGGCAGACAATGATGGCAATCAGTGGAAAGCCTAGCAAGCCAAATAGGGAAGAGCTGGATCCTAATCTCTGCTCAGCCATGGATTCCCCAGCCCTCATGAGGCACTCTTACCGCTACATACACTAGCTTTGTAAAGCTCAGAAGGTTGTACATGGCTCTTCTCTGCCTCTTTTATCTATTCACAGTGCTCTGGTGTTGTAGACTGTTGTGAATGGATAAAGGGCAGGGGAAAGGACCACGTATACTACTCCAAGCTCCTTAGAGGAACAGCAGGCTAAAATATGCATTAGATCCACTAGTGCATGGCTTGGTTGCTATGAATTAAACAGTGAATTTTCCCCTACATTTCATGGGATTTTAAAAGGGTGTGACGCATCCACCTGACTTTGAACGGCTAGATTTGAGTCCAGGAGCACCTAGAGACCAATAAGATTTTTGAGATATAAGCTTTCTAAAGTCAAAGCTCCCTTCATCAGATACAAGTTGGAGATTTTGGAAAACTCATATTGGATGGCACCCATACCTACAAAATAAACGTTGAGTAAGCTATTGAAACAGTCACTCTACATTTCAGACGCTGTGCCTCTATTCTAGGAAATGCCAAAATAACCTGCCAGATGAATATTCATTGAATATAAATTTCCTCCTGTGAAGAATAGTAAAACAGTGTTACGAGATTCGGGAGATCATCTCCCTCTTTAAAATGGAAGAATCGAGTGTTTTGCATGTCTTATTTCTTTAAGTACTGTGGTTGGAAGTTTTGTCTTCCTTCCTTGTTTAGAATTTGGGTACATCCTCCTCCTCTGTAATTAAGAAGCAGCTGTTTTTATAGCTTCTTGTGTCATTCAGTTTCAGAATGCTTGACAGATTTAAAATAGGTTTCTTGGTTTCTGATGTGAATGGCAAAAGGGGGCAGGATGTTCCCAAAGAGCCAATAAAACAAAGGAGGCTATGTCCTGTACTTCATAATATTTAACTTTTTTCCGGAGAGATTCTGCTGTATCCAATAGACTCAAAGTGAGTTTGAACATTCCAACACCCAAGAGTAGCTCTAAAAATAAAATTATAGAAAACCTTGACCCTCTCAGAGTCTTTCTAGGTGACACAAAGGTCTGTTATATAACCTGAATGCCTCAAAGATTCACCATAATCAAGAGACTTAAATTAATACATTGAAAGTAACAGAATATCTTGTGAAACCTTAAAGAAAAACACAGTGGTTTATCTTTAAGGAGCCACAGAAGTCTTTATTGTTTTGACTGGAATAGAATAGTACAGCCATATTGTTGTGAGCTGGGCCGGGAACGGGTCGTGCCGCTAGAACTGGGAGTGAGTTAGGCAAGGGCACGGGTCATTTCCTGCAGGAGTGCATAGGAGCGGAGCTCTGGCAGTAAAGAGTCCAGGGGCTGGGCACATGCAACAAGCCCCACCCCCTGGGGGGGTGGCATATGCAAATAAGTTATGCTAATGAGCCCTTGCACCTCTTTTTCTACGAAATGACCCCTGGGCAAGGGCACCAATTCAAGCAGCATGGTCAAAATCCAGTCCAAGGTCATGCACAGAGTCCAGGAGTCAGTCCGTACTGCAACGTCTGGAAGTCCAAGAGTTATCCATGAACAGGTTCAGGAGCGAGACTATGGCAGAGTCAGGGAACGGTCCGAAGAGTCACAGGAACAAGGCGGGATCCAATGCAGTGGTCACAGTGTCAGAAGGATTTTGACTTGTTGCTTCCACATCTAGCCCGTCTTCTGCTTCCCCATTTATGCTTGGTTCACAGCTGGGTTGCGTTAGGCTAGTGTGGGGGTGATCTTCCTGGCTTGTTCGCCCCAGGTGTTGCTGGGCGTCTAGGCGTGCGCTTTGCCTTCTCTTGAGTAGTTCATACCAAGCTCTCTGCTGCTGGCATTCCAATGGCTCCAGAGATGGGGGGCAAGGTGGCCCGTGGGGTCTTGTCCAATCCTGGGTCCAGGGCTTGGGCTGTGAGGGTGCGGCTTTCAGTTGGCAGCTCCTTCAGTGATTGGGTGATGGGGCCTTCGAGGGCCTGGCCGTCAGTGCCCAGTTGTGAGCTGGAGTCTGTTTCTGCTGCTTCCTCGCTACCCGTAGCACTCCCAGCATCATCGTGACTGGCTCTCGCTGGCTGACCCGTAACATGTTTTCTCTGTATTGTTGTCAATGTCACTTTTTATTTAAGTAGAAGTATTGAGTTTTCCTGCTTCACTAATATGACAAGACCCTGACCTGGATAGCCAAGGCCAGCCCGATCTCGTCAGATCTTGGAAGCTAAGCAGGGTCGGCCTTGGCTAGTATTTGGATGGGAGACCGCCAAGGAATACCAGGGTCATGATGCAGAGGCAGGCCATGGCGAACCACCTCTGAACGTCTCTTGCTTCGAAAACTCTACGAGGTCGCCATAAGTAATCTGTGACTTGACGCCACTTTCCACCTGACAAGAGGTAATCGCTGTAATATGGAAGTAGCTGGTCACAACATCTTAAAAGGTGGATAGCGGTAACTCCTGAGAGATAATTGAAAGTCTACACAGAGAATAACTGCACCCCAGAGATATAAGTACCCCAGGGGCAAACCTAATTTATCCATGGAGCAAAGACCACAAAGGCGCGTGGCACGTTTCTGTGGCACATTTGTTTGTCTTTAAGTACATCGATTGCCTTTAATGAGATGGTTTCTCTTCTCGTAACTGTCACATTGTAATTTGATTTCTGCCTAGGCACTGATTTTCTTTCAGTAGCCTAGACTGGCGTCTACCAAACAGCCCTTTTGTTCTGTGCATAAATGTCCAATAGCCTTCAAACAAAAGCTGACCTGTCCAGCGCCTAGAATGGTGGGGGGAATCACTCAAGAACTGCTTACCTAACAATTAATTGAGAGTGACTTTTTGTTTGGCTGCTCAAACAAAGGAGCTATATTGCGCTGCCATTTCTCTCTAGCCTGTAAGTGGGATAAGCTGTATTGGAGTGCCTCGCAGGGTCTCCAAAAGGAAATTGTAGCGTTGCACGCCCTTGACGTATCCCGTCGTGATGACCGTTAGAATGCCTGGCTTTCGAGGTAATGCTTGCCGATATGAATGGAAACCTCTCTGTAGTGTCTGAAGTCACTCGGCGATGGTGAACCTGCATTTGCAAATACACCCTTACCCTCTGTTCAATAAAATAAGTGTGCTTTCTTTAAAATAAACCCATAGTGTCTTTGTTGCAAATGTATGTCCCGTCAAGTCACAATCGACTGATAGCGACCTTAGCAAGGGGCTTTCAAGGCAAGTGAGAAGCGGAGACGGTTTATCGTTGCCTTCCTCTGCAGAGTCTTCCTTGGTGGTCTCCCATCTAGTATCAACACGGCTTAGCTTCCAAGATCTGACAGAATCAGGCTATACCATGCTGCGTTCCTTCCCACCATCTTCCCTCCCAACTAAAAATGATAAAGTAAGACCTAGCTTTTCTGTTTTGCAGCCTCTTATTTGTTTAAACATAGGGGCTGGATAAAAAGGGAAGTGTGGATAAAAAGGGAAGTAGGGTTTGCTTCCCAAAACAAGGGTGGAATTGCTTCTACCACAGAGTCCTTCTTCTACCACAAAGTCCTTCTTCTACCACAGAGTCCTTTTCACACATTCCAGGCACTTGGCAACCATGCATATCAAGAGTGTGAACTTTCCCTAGGCCCTCCTGATAGGCATGGTCTCCGTGTTGTTTGCTTGGGGCAGCATGTGGATTTCATACACGCGTACAACTTCTGTTCATGCTTCATTGAATGGGGCAGCATGTGGATTTCACACACGCGTACAACTTCTGTTCATGCTTCACAAAACTGAGGTTAGCATCATATGTACTGAATCTGGAAATCCACACATTGCCCCTTTCAGACATCCTGCTGGCTCTGAATATCAAAGAGGATTTGACCACAGTTGCTGACCTCCCGGTACAGGTGGATTGTAACATCTGACAGGGGCTTTATGTTACCCTCTGAAGATCTGTAGGATAATGCCCTTTACAGACACAGAGCCTGAGGGAGAATTTTGTGAAATGCAAATATGTGTACTCCTTGCTTCGTAATTTTTTTTTTAAAAAAGAGGACCCTCACAGAATGGATAAGAACAAGGCAATCGCTGTGCAGCATCTCCCTTAAAAAACCTCCACTTCTGTCAACATTAAATACTGACATGATGTCATGGTCTTTTAACATTAGAGCTCTGTGTGCTTCTTCCAAAGTACGTATTTGCCAGTCCAGGAAGTCCAAAAGGAGATGCACAGATGGTGGGGAACCCTGAGCAGTTTCTTCAGCTGGCCAAATTCGACTGCATCAGAATTGCTAATCAGCAAAATAACCCGTTCCGCAGGGTGTTTAGTTTCACACGAACTGACCAGTGAACACAATGCCTGTTAATCATAACTCTAAAATACTTGGATTTTTTTCTTCATTTGTTGCAGATCCAAAGCACCGAGGGAGAGATCCCTCATATGCCTAGTATGTGCCAGCTGGCTTTAGCGAAAACAAAAAAAGGTGAGTGAACTTCTTTCTCCTCCCCGACAGCTCCAGTGCAGCCCTTTTTTTTCTCAGAGCGTCCATTTGACATCCTGATTTTAGTCCTTGAAGTTCAGCCCACCCAAAAGATCTTAGTCTGCTTCCCAGTTAAGTTTTCCAGTCGTGGTGTTTTTCTCGTGGAGTGGCACCTTAAATGACAGGGGGGAAATCAGGGCGGGTAACCTCAGTTAATGGTTTGACTTCTTGGTACTTCAAGGATCGGTTAGGGAAATTGAAAGGCTGTATGTTTTTATTGCTGATCCCTGTCATTTAAAATGACTGTTTTAAACCTTAAAATTACATATTCTGTAAACCTAAATTGTCCGTTGCATGCAGGATTTGAATGTTCCTTAGAACACTGATTGCACAGAAGTACAGTGCACTGGGCCTTATTATCAGTTGAGGATATTTTGAAATTGATTTTGCAAAAAAAAAAGCACTTCAGAATTTGTGGGTGACATAGGCTACAAAAAAAACACTTCAGAATTTGTGGGTGACATAGGCTGTTTCCATACAGTTCAGTGCTAAGAACATAAGAAGAGCTCTGCTGGATCAGACCAGTGGTCCATCTAGTCCAGCATCCTGTCTCACACCATGGCCAGTTACTTCCCTCATACTGTTGCAAGTGGGTTTTTACCGCTTCCTCACTATATTGTGGTCATTCATACACCTACCAATGTTTCCTTGGCTTTCCTCCTATCTTTCACTAATCCGCTTTGCTCGAGGTTTTGGGAACGATCAAGCAAAGCCTGAATGGCTGACACATGGGCAGGAGAGATCAGATTTTCCCACTTGGCAGCCATTTCCCCCACTGTGGACATTTTCTCTTCCCACCATAGGAGTGATTAAAAATAATAATAATCAGCAACTGAATATTGTTATATTGATATAATGTTATAACAGTAAGTGCAACAGCCTCTCTGAACCCCAGCTTTCTTTTAAAGTAAGTCTCTATCCCTACTTGTTCAGAGAGATAAAGGGACGGACAAATCTCTTCAAGAAGCCAAGGATCTTCCTTTTTTTTTTTTTTTTAAGAAAGCTGGAGATTCAGAGAAGCTGTCATGCATTGTTAGAACAACGTTCAGTGGCTGGTTTTAAAATAAATAAATAAAAAGTGCTGAGGGGTGTGAAAGGCCACTGCTGGGGGACCGGGGCAGGGAAACTGTGGGGAAACCTGCCAGGTTGAGGAACATGGAACAGATTCTTTCCAGATGTTCTGAATATTCAGTAGGTTTTTGCTAGAAGGTATAGACCTGTTTCGGCTACACTGTATTTGGGAGCCACAGCAACCACAGGGAAACCTCATGTGCTTGTCCCTACGAAGAAAAAGTCTGTGTCTGCCATGTACATGGCAGTTCCTTCGCGCCTGCCAGGTTGCACAGCCAGTCTTGTTCCCCAGGCTGAGCACAGCTAGCTGTAGCTATCAGGACCACTCGTGGTTAAAAAAGAAACACAGAAAGAACCAGGCATCATGTTATAGGTTGAGAGTGGGTCGTGCTTTCTTTTTTTAGCCCACGACACCTGCAACATCTACCTGTAGAGATGTTCATATGCCAGCAATCGAAAGGGGGAAGAAAGAAGGGCTGTCCTTAGGGGGTAACCCGAGTCCCCAGCAGCACTGCCAGCCTTTCAGGGGGCTTGCCCTCTGTCCCTTTGGTTGCCCCATGATGGCCCGGGATTCTCCAAGCCTCCTCAGTCTTACTGTCGGGTTCTTTTAGCAGAGCAGTGTTGCACAGCGGAAATAAAGCATACACAGACATGGGTGCATGTTTAGCGTATAAGAAAAAGAACGTTTACTACATAAAATTAGGGAAGGGTTATGTGGAGGAAAAACAGCATCCTAACTAACTCGTCTCCATCTTGCTCGTTCGTTTGCTAACGTGCGTGAGAGCTCTAAGTGTTCTGAGGCAGAGGACAAAGGAAAGGAAAGTTTCCTCCCAAAGCCCCACCCTGGCGTGTGTGCCAAACAGCATGTACCATCTCTCATATATTGATTAGCCAGTAGTCAATCTACTGCTCATCTCTTTAGGGATAATACATCCCCCTTCTTGGCGGGAAGATTCTACACGGCATCTGATAGGTGCTGTGCTAACTAACTAACATTAACATACAGAAACAGCAAATTAATTCTGTCGTGACTGAAGGGTGACGCTTGCAAATCCCAACACTTACCTACTCTGGCTTGCTGAGAGAAGTCTGAATTGTGCTGTCTAACAGAGGTGAAATCCTGTTTCCCCTCCAAAAGCAGTAGGTAGTCATCGTGAACCTCAAGAGTTTCCCAGACTACTTTAGAGGTGTTCTGAGAATATCACCACACATTGGCAGATGTTGCTCTAAAGGGGGATTTGGTGGCCTTTTATACAGATTCTCTTCTTGCCCAGGGAGGAAAAAACCCACAGTGGGTCCAAAATATTCCTTCCATGCTATCCCATCCATCCATCCCACTTTTCTCCCCAAAGGAGACCCAGCAGATTGCATTGTTCTCCTCTCCTCCATTTTATCCTCACAACGACCTATGGCAAGGGTGAGCGAAACATGCATTTTTTGTTTCTACTGAGGAATAAGGGGTTTTTTTTGTCCATCATGTTGGATTGGGCCGCATCAGCGACAGCTATAAGTGGGGAAAGCAACCGTTGTGGTTTTGTGTGTGAACTGTTATACTTGGAACAGGAGACCCAGGTTCTGACTCATGCTCACCCCTGGAGCTCATTGGACAACTTAAAAACTTTGACGTTGGCCTAACCCCCCTTCATAGGGTTGTCATGTTGTTTATGACGAGAGATTGGAATTCTAATGATGTTGGTCTCTGTTGCAAAGCGGGGGAGTTTGCCCATTGCTCTGGCAGCCGCCTGAGAAAATGCCTGCAAGTATCTTTTTGAGCAGGCATCTCCAAAACCAAACTTTGCCCTGGGGATCAAATGTTTGGAATGCAGTTGGATCCAGGCATCCATATGTCTGTACGTGTGAATGGGCTTAGTTTAACTGGTGGCTTCATTTTTATTAGAGCCAGTTTGGTGTAGTGGTTAAGAGTGGTAGACTCTAATCTGGAGAACGGGGTTTGATTCCCCACTCCTCCACATGCGGCCATCTGGGTGACCTTGGGTCAGTCACAAGTTCTCTCAGAGCTGTTCTCTCATAAGCAGTTTCTCTTGGAGCTCTCTCAGCCCCACCTACCTCACAGGGTGTCTGTTGTGGGGAGGGGAAGGGAAAGGAGATTGTAAGCCACTCTGAGACTCCGAGTGAAGGGCGGAGTATAAATCTTACTACTACTACTACTATTACTACTACTACTACCACCACCACCACTACTACTACTACTACTACTATTACTATTATTATTATTATAGTAACGAGCTCGTCTTGCCCCCATTTTCCTTCTGAGAGTCTTTCTCCTGCTAAGCTTCCTTCAGCACCACACAGAAGCTCTGTCCTGATGCCACAGTGAACAGTCTCATTCTTGTCCACCTGTTTTCCGTGGTCTGTTCCTGAAGCCCAAAACTTGGTTCAGAAGCCCTTTATCCATCCCTGGGCCTCTGTGTCTCTCAGGCTGTTTCACTGCCCATGCCAGAGTTATGCTGTCCAGCACAGAATGTTATGAATTTCAGATATATTTATGGCGGCATTGTGACTTTGCCGTGGAGGCTGTGCTAGATCGCTAACTTTTATTGCCGTCTGAGTGACGCTTTTAATAGGCTTGCTGTGAACTGTACACTGTCGAAAGCCAACGCTGATTGGTATGGTCTTTCCTCCTCCTCCTCCTTTTTTTCTTTTTAAGAGACCATAAAAACATTCTTTGGACTTTTATGTAAAATCCACCGAGTTTTACAGCTACTGATGCTGCGCAGTCACACATGCTTCTCGATTTTCGTAGTGCCCTTTGTTTACAAATCGTGCTTTCTATTTTTAAAGCGGGGGAGAGCTTAAAATAATCATTTGCCTTTTGTTTTTCCCTCCACCCCTTGAAACACATGGTTTTGCCAAAAAAAAAAAAAAGTCTCCCATGCCGATGACAGCAGCATACCGCTTAGGAGGCGCATCTGAAGTAGCCAAACGAGTTTCTCTGGAGTGTGCAGTTTTGGCGTTTGTTGTTACGTAACTCGAGCGGAAGTGTGTTTCGTTCCCTTCCCCCCCCCCTTCTTTTTTGTGAAGAAGAATCAGGATTGGAATCAAAAGCTTCACTTGTGATGTGTTATAAACATGAAGAACTTGCTGAAATGCTTAATGAAGTACAGGGCAAAGAAGCAAATTCAAATACCTTTTATTGGCATACAATATTAGAAGCATTTCCCAATAATACAATCCCAAAGAAATTATAAAATAGATAGTCGTGGCTATGTCAGGCCTAACTCAAGTTGTCACAAGCTAGATTTGACCATACAAAAGATGCCTGAATCATAAAATAAATTGGCATTCTAAACTTTTAAACTTGAGTTTTTAGACTTATAAATTAAAAATCGTTAATATGATCAGGGTCACTCTTCCGTTTTATATTAATGAAGTGGAGGGCCAAGAGGCGGGGGGGGGGGGGGGGGACGTCGTTTCAAGAACGTAACTTCTTTTGTCTCTTCCATTAAGCGTGACCTGAACTTGGCCACTCTTGTGTTGTCCCATCAACTCTTGCTGTGGTCCCAACTCTCATATTAAAACATACCTCTGGCTGGGTACAATGAACATTAACACCAGCATCTCCTGAAAATGCAGAAGGCGTTAACTAAATATGACATACAAAGCTGCCTTTATACAGCATAGCGTTGGATTAGGCTCTGGGAGACCCAGGTTCAAATCCCCGCTCTTCCATGG